GCTGCAGCAACTCCGTACATGGGCTGCCAGCTCTACCAACTGAGCTAACCAGGCACCCCTCATAAAAGCCTTACTGGGAATCCAAATCATAACTGAGACATCAGCTGTATGTAAGCATTGGTAGACTGTCTTCTTAGTAAACCTATAAGAAAGAAAAACTATTCCAGGCAGTTTTTAAAGTAGCAAAGATCCTCATTTGTCCGGGCCAAGAAAGATCTCTTCTATTACAAGCAAGACAGTCGGGCTAGTTGATTACAGGTCACAAAGATTTCCTACCATCTATGTAAAATTGATGGACTGCTCCTTTACTATAAATTTAATTAAAATACAGTATGTGGCATATCAAAACATCTGCAGTGGATTCATCAAATTCTATGTATCTTGGTTGTGCCAAAAAGCTGCAATTTTATCATATACACTTCCTGATAGACATGTCCATACTACTGTACCTTGATTTCACCTTCTGTCTGGCACATGTGGTGTGTGGTAGTTCTTTAAATTGACAGAAAGCTGTGTGACATGGAGTTTGTGTAGCACCACAGCGCCATGGTAGCTCACCTGATAGAGGCTGAGTCCTTACCGCAGAGGCCCGGGCCTGAATCTGAAATGCCAAAAAAAAAGGAAAAGAAACCTGGGTGTTATTCTTAGATGAACAAAATTTAAAATCAACATCAAGTGTGTATTTTGCATCACTAGAGGTGTTTTCACTGTGCAATTGAAAGATGAAAATGTTAACTGACTGACAGTCTGACTTTATCATGTGCACCACAGGCTTCAAAGTGTGTAAACATCCTCACACACTCTTTTTTTAAACCCTGAATCTTTGATCTAACAGGAGGAGAAGAGTAGGTCTCCTTCTGCGCAGCTCATTTGTAGTCATTATGTAAAATGCCAAACACAACAGATTTGTGTGCAGCAGTACCGCTGTAATTGCAAAATATTTCATGATGAAGAATTGTTAACTTCCAGATACCTCTCCTTAAGTTCTTCCCTTACAATTATTTAAAATTCTGATTGACAAATGAGCATATGAGATTATTTAAATGTAACTGGTGCGAAGCTGTCCTCCAGGATTCATTAAGTTAAACCACTTTATGACTAAGTTGTTGGGCTGCAGAGCAGAATGCAGAGTGTCTTTAATCAAATGTTTACACCAGAACAATTCCATTAATGAGCCATTTTTCTCTCTTAGCGTGGCTCCACTGTTGAAGTATGATAATTGAGATCCTGTAAGAGGTGAATGGCTTTCATCTTTCACATGAAACCCAATGAGAGTGTTCGGACAAATAACATCCTCAGAGTCTTATCAGACTCAGAGGAGCATCCCTGTCACACACAATTTTAATTAAACAACTAAACAAATATTGCAGTTTCTGTAATGGTGCTGGTGATGGAGCTGCCCAAACAAAGCCCCCGTCTGTTTTCACAGAGTGTCATTATGAGAAGCAGGCAGCAAAACTCTAAAAGCTGCTGAAACTCCCAAAAGTAAGAGATTATCAGTAAGCTGTTTTTACATTGATTTAAGCTGTAATATGCTACTTTTTCTCATTAAAACAACAACCAATGAACAAGAGGAAGTGTCCTCAGGAAACTTTTGAATCATGACCTCTGAGTCTGAAATCCTCGCTATGGCCTTGTTCTGGGAGGCGCCAAATTTGGTCCCTTTACTCAAGTACAAAACACAGGCAGGGAGGCAGTAAGATGTAAGGTGTTTGGGACCTCATCAGTATGTGTTTACAGCTATCGGAGAATCCTGCATATGTGAATAAAATTGTATAAAGCCTGTAGTGGCTGCAGAGATCTCTAATAAGTGATGGAATTTGACTCAGTGTCGATTGGCTCTGAGGACTATGGCCCCGTTTACACATGATAACATGTGATCTCCATCTGGATAATGTATGTGAGTTAGAAAGCAGTGAGCTATTCAGACCTCTGTAAGCCCACTCTTCATCTCTTCCTGAGGCTTGAGGCTACATTTGCCACTACTAGCATGACACACCCAAATCTCCAGCTGAACTGATCACTGTCAACTTGCATTGTGGGAAATGAAGGCACCAGGTTTTGACATTGTGGTGCATCAATTTTGAAACCTCCAGACAAACTGATAATGTTAAAGGACTGCAGTGAAAAATGCAATGTAGTCGAGTACCCTTTTAACCTTAAATGCAAACTTAACAGTGCTTGTATGGATCTACTGTTAAACTGAATTGAATGAACCAGCTTGAGCCAGCACCACAGTGAATGTACTACTGAACTTAAAACATTCAGAACCAGCGCAGATTGTTGCAGGGCTATAGGAAGTATAAAAATGTGTTAACTTGGCTTGAAAAACAAATTAACAAACTACAAAATTAGTCACTACCAATCTTTGAACTGAACTGAACAAAATGATCAAAAAGAGAAAAGCGACTTATAATTAGGTTGAATAAGTGTAGAACATTCAGCACCTTGAACCTTTTATTGCAGCATGTAATAGTGTGAAGTCTTACTGTGGTGTGATTATCAGATGAACTCTTCAGTTCTTTGCCTACACTCTGGAGACTTAAAGACATTTAACTAACCATCTCTGTCAGTCCGGAGGCCTCGACACGATGCTCAACTGCTGTCAAACATGCCGTCACACACCCACTCACACTTCACACACTCCATAATGATCCATCTCTTCGGCCTTGTTATATCTGCACCTCTGGTCCAGCAACAGCTCATAAAAACCATGCTTGTTTCATCCTGAGGCCTCCTGCCGGCCTGCTGCTCAGAATAATGACTCTCTGAGGACGAGGTGTCAACACTGAAGGAAGCCACAGGAGACCAGCTGAGAGCGGTAACGGTCACCGCTCTGCTGTAAACCTTTGTTACCCCAGGAAGCCAAGCACAGTCTGTCTTTAAGCAGTGACTGTAGTTGCTCACTTACAGGTGCTGGAAGGAAGCCGGACTTCTCAAAATTGATTTTGGAATCAAGAGAGAAATTTCTTTCTCTCTAGTCTTCATATCCTTTGAGTCAATACAGTACTTTGGAATTACTGTACTTCCTCTTCTGCTTAAAATTCACTAGATTGATATTTTTGTCTTGTTTCAGTTGTTATGCTGGTGCTTGTTAATCCTCACTGTGTTCACTCTGACAGTGCAGACACCATTTCCTATGGAGAGCAGGAGATCTGGCCGTGAGGTGCATGATGGATACCCTGTGGCAATTTGACGGACTGTACCTCGAGGTAAGGTAATGCTGATCAAATATGAACCAAGATTCTGTTACTGCATAGCCTATTTCTCGTCTCATGTTTTCAGAAATATATTTTAGTGCAGAGGTTTTTAGAGTGGAAGGTGGGCCTGCCTCCACAGGGGGCAATCCAAACTGTCTCATAGGATGCTCAGTGAATGAAAGGGAAAAAATATTACATTAGCTATCAAAAGGAGAAATCATAGGGTGGTTAAAGAGATAGTTCAGAGATACAGTAGTTTGGGGGAATTTTACTGTTTTTTCCATTTTCCCAGAATCAGAAACTAATAAATGCCTCAGGACAGAGAGTTTTTATGTATTTAGTGTAGTCTGACGGTATGTCAGACAACAGCAATATTAGGCCATCTTGGCCCAATTGTTGAGTGTCTATGGGCTCAAATAACATAATTATGATATCCTAGGCATAAGGAAACCACACACAGTAGATTTATACACTTCAATTGAATCACCAGCCAAGTTTAGAAATGATCCCGTAGCAAAACATCTTAGTACCAGACACACTAGGGAAGGAATGTGTAATGTTGCACGTCTGCTGCCAACAGTTCAATAATCCTCTGTATCTCCGCTAGTGGAAAACGAAGAACAGGAGACTTGCTTTTTTAATCCCCTTTAAGTTGAGTTATTTTAGGTTTTATGTTACATAAGTTACGTTATGTGCGACTTGTTACATCACTTACGTCACATGATTTATGTAGTGTAGTTATTCTTTTCCTAAACCTAAACAAGCAGTTTTGGTGCCTAACCCAACCGGTCAGACCTTTACACAGTCAAAAATTACATTCAAGCTAGGCTACATTTGACCATGTGCATAGCTGGTGCAAGCCAGTGCTGATGTTTAGAAGGGAAAACCATAATTTTGACCTGATGATGGCGCTAAATAAAAATGTGAGGTGACAACATCTTAAAGGGTACATACTATATAATGTTTGAAACAAAAGGCAATCCATCCATTTCAATGAAAAACAAAACTGTCAACCTGATGGTGGCGCTAGAAGAAAATGTTAGGACAACATCAAAGTCAGTATTTATTATCTGGAATTGAACTGAATGAATGTCTGTGTTGGGATCCAAGGATACCCCTAAATATGAACTTGTTCATTTGAAGTGTTTAACTGAAACACAAAGGAACGTGTTGGGCCCAGGCCATGTGCTCTAAACAAAGGAATTCTTTTTCCAGGCCTTTGTTGCGAGCCATAAAAGCTGTCTGGACTGACTGAAAGTCAAAAAATGGCTGGCCCGCAATCCAGACCCCTCAGTGGAGACCTAAGGTGAGCGTTAAAGGATAAACGCCCAAACACCGGACTGCTCATTGTCATTCCTTTGGACCCCAGACCTGTCATCAAGAAAAACGGCTACTTAAGCCAGCAGAGTATGCTCTCTTCCTCTCTCTTCATCTCACTTCGCTCCTTTTCACACAACCCACCCCGGGTAATAAGTTCTGGACCTCGGTTCGGCTGACCAGACCACGCACGACCGAAGATCATAGCACGGCACAAAAGCCGGTTTTCTGCCGGATACCGCACCCAGCGTGACATCATCACAGCAGAAAACCAGTTTGCACTTCAGATATGATTCTACTCAGCCTGGCTCACTGAGCGACCGCCAGCTGTACCCACGCAGCCTCACCCGCAATCTTTTCTTCTTCCTTCCTCTTGACCGTCTGTAATGTATCTGCTGGTCATAGACAAACAACCCTTAGCTTAACGGCTAATTCAAGGACTGTTTTAATATGTAATGTTGGCAGATGTCTTATCAAGTTACTGTTTATGTGATGATTTTGATTAACTGAGTTACTGTGACGTAACGCAGTCTCTTAAGCCCACCGTTAATCTAAAAAATCTACATCACACATATTTGGTCCTAGTACACGTGGAGCTGTCAAATTCTCCCGCTTCCTATCTCTGGTGTCTCTCAGACACAGGACATAAACTTTTTTGACCCCATAAACACACACACACACACACACACACACACACCCACACACTCCTTTAGTTTCCTTCAAGCTAATTGTTATAATTGTATTTTTCCTCGTTTGTGTTTACTTATATCTGGCTTCATAAATGTTTCTCTGTTTACATATGCTGGCCATTTATTATCGTAAAACGTGAGTCATACCCACCTCTTCGTATGGTAGAACTCAAAGCTCCCACTCTAGCTATAATTACAGATTTGTAGTACATTAATTTAATTATAACCTCCTGATTTCTAAATTAATAGTTTATGAATTTTTCAGAGAGCGATCATTCGATTATTGTATCCTTCCCTTTTTTCAAGTGGTGTGGCCCGAGACTTTTAACTATAATAAACTCATTCTATTATCTTGATATTCATAATTTGAAACATTAACTTGATTAAACTATTACAGTTTAGACACCAACATCCTACGTCGTAGAGCCCGACATCTGTGTGAAATTTCATTTATTTAATAGTTGTTGAGAGAAGTGGACCATCAGACCAACAGACAGGCCGATATTGCTGCTATCATCGCTAATAGAAATTATGTAGAGTTATGTGAATTACAATGGAAATTGTGTGTTAAAGGCCTGAATCGACATATTTGCCAGAGCAAGTGTAAATATTTGAAAAGTTGAACAAATATTCTGACACCACATGAATAATTTGTTGAAATTATTGAGGATTGTGGTGTCCGTGCTGTAGACCTCCAGTGAATGTTCATTTGATCAAAGTTTTCTGAATAATTATATTCCTGTGTTTCTGTCTGTCTGATTAAATCTGAGATCTTCTCTGACACTTTGTGTCTGTAATGACCCAGACCACCATTCCTCATTGTTGTGCCGTTATCAGGCTCTGAATGTGCTCCTTCACATTATCGTTGATCAAGGAAATGATCCACTGCTGAAGTCTCTCTCTCACACCCAGCCCACGGCAATTAACTTCATAAAAATGTTATTTGCAATTTCACTCTTAACTCATGTATTAATTCTGCAATCAATTACCTCCACTTCAGCTTTTCTGGACTCATTTCACTGATGGATGTCAGTCGTGACTGAGAACTAAACTCTGAGAAAAACTTCGACTTGTGTTTCTGAACCAGGGTTCTTTCTGAAAAAAATCTTTTTACCTCGAGTGGTTTCAGGCATAGGTACACTTTGTAATTCCTTACTTGAGCTTCCCTTCTTGGTCCTCGGAGATTGTTATTGGTATTGAGCAGAGAAGGAAGAAATCTGTTCAAGGCAGAGAGAGAAAATTCTACACCGCAGCTTGTTTCCTGGTTTGGTTGAGGACCAGGGGCGTTCCCTGCACTATTAACCATATCAGGGGCTGAGCCTAGATTCTTCATCAAATTTAAACCATACTTCTAAATAGACTGTTTCCATGATTTTTTCTTGCATGTGAGGGCTAAGCATTGCTTGAAAAACCTTAAAATTGGAGAAGAAAGGTTTGTGTTTGATTTAATCTGCAAATGAGCATCATATAAGATACCAACTACCATTAGATGCCTACATGATGGACAATTCTCAAAACCCATTGTACAATGGCAAGTTTACAAATGACAGTTAAAACAGCGTGTTGGTTTCTCTGTAGGATATGTCTACCGGCTGTTTCTGTGTAAAACTGACACTTCAGGTCACGTCACCTGCATATATGGTGCCCAAGATACTTGAAATAAGTAGTACTTGTACTTCCCACTCTTGTATATATGCTATATGGTAGCATTAGCATTGCCGTAGACTCCTATTCTACATAAAATAATAAACCCCATCACATCACATCTTGATCATGAGGACCCTCAAGTTATTATCTTGATCTTACATACATTATGCATCATAAATGATCATATCATTATAATAATAAATAATTATAGCATCTGTGTGTTTGTATTCTGCAAATACATAAAAAAATAAGTAAGAAAAGTGTGAATACAGGACACATTTAGTTTCTAGGTAGTAACTGATATTAACCTGGAGCAGTTTAGTAGAGTAGTTTTTCATGTTTTTACGCTGGGTTGCTGTCAGTTTAATCAACAGCAGTCCACAGAGTGGAGGGGTCGGTTTATGTTTCAGTCTGGATCACAGGCTGCCACGCCCTCAACTCTCTGTCCGCAACAACACCATATAACCCCACCAATCCTGTGGGCCTGCCCTGGAACTCTCAGGGATGATGCAGCTCATCTGTGGGGTGGACAGGATGAGTAAATCACCTCTTCCTCGTCATCTTCTTCTTTCTTCTCCTCCTCCTGGCTCCTGGGGCTACTAGGAGGTTGGCATCAGGATTTATGCACATATTTTTCTCTATGTCTATGTTGCTGCTGGCTGTCACCAACACCCACTCAATCCGTAACTGACCTCTTTGTTATTTTCATGGTATTATTTATGAAAGTTGACAATAGAGCCTCTACCTGCTTTAGTTTTTGTTCAGTTTCCTGAGACTTGATTATATTATATTATATTATTTTATATTAGATTAGATTAGATTAGATTAGATTAAATTATATTAGACTAGACTGGTTCAGATTATATTCAATTAGACATGACTAGAGTAGAAAAAACTAAATTAGACTAAAAGATTAGATTGGACTAAAGTATAGATAAAACTATATTATATTATATTATATTAGATTAGGTCATAATTAGAGAGTAGAATAATAGATTATATTAGTAGGTTAGATTATACTAGATTAGATTATATTAATCGACTAGATTGTACTAGACAATAGACTAGGCAAAATTTGATTAGATTGGGATACCAAATAGACTCTAAAACAGCAATGCAACATGCATGTCCACTTTACACAGTGACTGGTCAGGTGTGGTGTAGAGGTGTAAAAATTGGTGTAAAAAAGAGTTTGAACCTCTTTTCAAGCTCTTTCATTACTCACACAACTACTTCTGTCACTTCTCATTTCAACTGCTGCGTGCAACACCATGAATGTCTCAAGGACAGTCTGCTCCATTATCCCCATTTGTTTAATTAAGGGCATTGAGACGACAAAAACTTACAAAAGACACAAAGTGGGATGTAGCCAGGAGGAGGCAGCGGGCTTTTCACTTCACCTGCCCAGTGTGGACATTCAGCACAGGTAGAAACACTTTGATTTTAAACATGGTGGGACATTGTTTTCGACCTTAAAGGTCCGGTGTGTAACATTTAGGACAATTTATTGACAGAAAGGGAACATATTCATTGGTATGTTTTCATTAGCGTTTAATCACCTGAATATAGCAATCATTGTGCTTTTGTTGTTGATTGAGCTGTTTATATCCACAAACGCCGCAGGTTGCCTTCCATGGAGTCTGCCATGTTGAACTGTGGCCACTCTAGTTTCTCCTACATACTTCACACCTGTTCTCATTTCCAGGTCGTCAAATACAGACGCAAGCGGTATTCAGTTAGTTGCAATCTGCCACTTCACCACTTAATGCCACTAAGTCCTACAAACTGGTCCTTTAAAGACAAACAATCTATTATGGTTTAAAGGGTAACTTCGATATTTTTCAACAAGTACGGTTCGACCTCCAGCTATGTTTGGCTTAGCGTGGCATCTTTCATGCTCCAGAGAGGCGAGGATGGGTTTGAATATGTCACCCTGGTGCACAATCCACAAACTAAAAACCTTAAAGACCCTAATGACCCAGACAAGGAAAACCTAAGAGGTTTTATGTTTGGCCCAGGGATCCATTGTGTACAGTCGCAAGTTTCAAGGCATATATTTCCAAATGTCCATCAGATGACAAATCTTTTTTATGTCCACCCGAAGCACGCCGTGACCTCAAACGTGTGGTACAGCCGGGAGCCAATGGGTCTTGGGAACATGCTGAAAAAGATCGGCGAAGAGGTGATTACATTTCTTCTTCTTCTTCTTCTTCTTCTTCTTATTATTATTATTATTATTATTATTACTATTATGCTATTAATGACTATCGGCTAACATGTCTAATCATTTTCTTTTTGTTCATTTTACCTTTCAGGTGTGTCTTTTGTAGGCCTACACAGATCACAGCCTCCGAAGTAGTGCTATAGGTCGGCTCTTGGATGGAAGCCTGGAGAGCTAAGCCGTCAGATAATGTTAGTGACAGACCTCCGTCAGTGCAGGACAGACAAGAATGGAGCCATGTATTGTCATCTTGCAATGCCCCGACCCATCACGGCCCGACCCTAGCTGTCAAGCACCCTGCATTAAAACCCTGCTATAGCGGACTTGCCAATATCTCAATCAAATTTCACAATAAATGGAAATGTTGAATTTAATTTTAAATAAGACAACATATTCACAACAGTTGAGGTGGTTCGGGCATGAGATGCCTCCAGGCGCCCTGTCCTGGCACATCCAGCTGCGAGGAGTTTCCACGGGCAGACCGAGGCTAGCCGAGAGATTTTATCTCCGACACTGCCTCGACGCTTCGGATTCCCCCAGTCAAGAGCTTGGCCGATGTGGCTGCGGAAAGGAAGTTTGGGGTCCTCTGCTGGACCTGCTACCTCCGCGACCCAACCAAGCGGATGAAAATGATGATGATGATGATGATGATTCAAAACATATTCCTATTTTTTCCACTGTGGGTGTGCTTTGTCTTTGTCAGTACTTCAAAATGTGTTGTCCCCATCAATCACTTAAACATGGGAAAATAAGGTCCAGGAAGAAAAATACCAAAGTTACCCAATAGGTTTCCAGGAGAGACAAACACAAACTTTAGTAACATGCAAAAAACCTGGAAAACTGAAGTCAGTGCTGCTTCAAAAAACACTTCCAGTGGATATTAAACATGACCTCATCTGCTGGACATTTGGGGTCAGATTCCCATTTCCTAACCGAAGGCAGAGCAGAGGTCAGGGTGAACAGACTATATCAGGATCAGCTAATAACCCCCTCTCTCCCACAGGCAGCAACAGGGCCAAACAGAACAATATGGAAGTTGTTGTTTTCCATCTGCTAGACAGCTTCATGTATATAGTTTATTGGTGATATTCTTCACCGAGGAGGACAGTTGATTAGAAAAATAAAGCAGGAACAGGACCTCAGGCCTGCTGCTGTGGTGTGTCTCTGCAGGAGAAACTCATTAGTGTTGAGTAATGAGCCTCCTGCTAATACAGCAGCAGAATTATGCTCTCTATCACAGGGTCTCTGAGTGTTTGGCATTTTTCAATTTAATTAAACAGTCAGTAATCTGGTTGTAAAAGCTTCTGAGGTTTCCATCTATAATGTAACATGAATATGATAGCTCATAGCAGAGTTGCTGTTTGATGAGAGGGAAGTTGTTGTTTCTGCCCTGTGCACAATGATGTTGATTGATCCAGATTTATCCACAGAAAGATATCTCAATAATTACTTGACAGATTGATATGAAATTCCCTCTGGATATTTGTGCTCACCAGCGGATGATTCCTTATGTTACTGTTGACATCCTGACTTGTCCTCAAGTGCCACTGGATGTACTTTAGATTTTTAGCCTTACCTCTTCTAAGGCTCTATGACATTCTTCATATGATAAGTGATACAAGCTATACACATCACAAACTAGGGTGCAAATTACTGTGCAAAGACAAAAGGCCTTTCTCAATACAAGTACATCAACTTTAAACTTGTGTGGGAGTTTAAACTTGGGTCAGCTCAGAAGAACAGTGTGATATAGGTTTATATCCCCAATGTGCACACGGTAGCAGGAAAATACACCGTATAGGTTTTCTGGATCTCCATGAGATCACCTGACATCTGGACTTCAGTGGCTGGCCTTATTTTGACTCCTGACAGGCCAGAGTCCTGTTCCACTCTTCAGTGTGAAGTCCTCAGTTGTCTTCTGTCACCTTGAGCAGCTGCAAAAGTCTGGAGGCTGGCAGGTCCACCTGCCTGATGTCAGTATGACACCTCCTCTCTCTGACAGACTGCAGCTCATGTCAGATGGCCAAAACAGAAAACTGTGAACCTTTGGAAAGGTTGCCTTCAGTTTAATGATGGAAAAAATATTCTAATTAGATTAAAGTATCTAAGTAGCACTGTAATTACGGCTGGAATTTGGTTTGCCACCACCTTTGTAAATTTGTGTTACGAAGTCCTAATTTGACAAAAGAAAGTGTAACGGGTCATTTTTTGCTAACTGGGTGAAGATGGATCAGTTCAAGCCAAAGTGCCGAAAGGAGTTGATGATGATCGATAGAAGCTTTTGTCAATGAAAGTGTTCTCATTTTCAGGTAGATATTGTTTGAAATATATTACTTGAAGTGTAAGCACTGGGGGTCGTTGGAATAAATTGTGTATGGATGGCGGAAAATGTGGGGAAGAAAAGAAGAGAACTTAAATAGTAAGATGTGGCAGATGAAGTGTAAATGAGTTTCACTGAATGCAGATACACTCTCAGTTAAAGAAGAGATCAATGTGGAGGGACTGTCAGTGGACTTTTGAGCGCTGAAAACATTAAACAAAAGGTATAGAAAAAAATACCAATGCCTAAACTGAAAAAAATCGTTTTGTTTTACTATTAAATTTAAAGTAATAAAACGTTTTTGTATGTATAACTTGATTCAATTATGTATATATATTTTAACTTTTTATTGTATTTATTAATCTTATTTCCTATTTTCTGTTCCCCATTTTTAATACAGTCATTGTTTTTCTAGCAATAGTTCTTTACTTATTGAAGTATGGCTATAGTAAGGTTCCCTTTACGCATGCGCGTTATCGCAGCCTGTCAATTCGAAACCAAGCGAGGGAAAAGTCCTGCAGCCGTAAGTTTTCCTCTCTTACCTCCAGTGTGTACTGCTGTGAGTCCTTCCACATAAAGCCTGCTGAAGACGGGTATTTCACCACGACGGTCCTTTTATTAACCGTACTCGAAATCTTGTTTATTAGTATATTGAAGCTTGTTTAGTGAGTTTATCGCCACTCAAACCTCCGTTGTCTTTCAGGAAAAGAATGCGTAGCCAGACCCAATCTAAAAATCCTCATGTTTCGGGTTGCATTACTTATTGGCACAACCATACAACACATTGAGTACGGTTTTAGGCATTTCACAAATCTAAACAGTCCACTTTAAAATTCGGCCCACCCCAATACACAATCATTATTTCCTTACCCCTCAAATGTCGCTAATTTCCACCGCTTGCTGTCCGAAGGAAAAGTTGAAATATTATTATTATTAACGATTTTCATTACGTATTGTATGCATGCCGAATGTGTCAATAGAGTCTATTTATTCATAAAAACTTGTAAACTATGTTCTATTTTCTGTGTATGGTTACAGAGAGTCAATACAACTTTAAAGCGATGGATTTTGGAATGGAGTTCCCTTGACTTTTGATTAGACGACAGAAGAAGATAACACTAGGTTAAGTTAGTTCTCTCTCTTGCTATGCGTCCTTACAGTTGTTTGTTCACTATCTTACATCAACACTGTATTACATTTGATGGACGTGGTAACGTTACTGTATGACGACTGTTCGTGCTAAACCGGAGCTAATGTGCCCTCAGTGCCAGTGTATGCTAAAGCTTGCTAGCAGGCTAACTAGCTTTGGATAACTTTAGACATCTGAAGTAACGGTTCTAAAATGTATCGGCATATTTGTTTTAGAGTCACTGTTCACGTTAGCGTTAGTTGTTTATTAAGGTTGTATATAAGGTATCCCTGACATAATGGACCACTTTAAAGCTTATTTTTCTTTCATTTCTTCCACTTCCTTTGATCAGACTGTGATTGTATTTTTTTGTGAAACAACTCTTGTTGTTTTCACCTGTTTTTTTACTGCTGACATTTGGTGCTGCTTGGTTAATCAGATGAAGGGATTACGGTGTGGGGCCTAACAACACTGAAAATGGATTTTGCTGTTTTACAACTCTTATTTTTAAGGTCAAATGAGATCACTACTTCTAATAGGAAAGAGACTGTAGGTATTTAATACAAGTGGCAGCTGTAAGAGGATTTCCTGATGAGCCTTACACTATAGTTTGTATATAGGCTTTTATACATTGTTAATGGAGTTATTGTAATTTAGAGTTTTTGTTGATAGTTGGTCTCATTTACATGTTTTTCTGCTTCTGTTGTCAGACAACGGAATGAGTATGAAATGGTTATTTAATCGTGGCCCATAACTACCTTTAATTGTTCCCAAGCTGATGCATTGTGGTGATAAAATAGATGTTATCATGACGTTGTCTTACAAAATCAACATACAGGTTAATGACAACAGCTCTGCTGTGTGTTTGCCTTTACTGACATTTAAAATGAGTCATCACGGAGAAAGCTGGAGGCGACCAGAGGCCACACAGCCCCTGAACCTCGCTCTGTTTACCCCGTACCCTACACACTGAAACACCAAGTAGGCGGTTTCAGATACACTTTGGAGAACGTTTTGGAAGTAGAAAAATGCTGTTTTAGTCTGGACAGAGAGCTGACACGGAAAAAAAAAATCAAGGTATTTTTGCCCAAGATCTGAGTGATTTAATATCGAGTATCTGCCGATCCTGAGTCCTGATCTGATGCTTGTCTTTTCCTAGTTGCACTTTAAGTACATTAAAGTTATTAAAATCAACCCAATGTAAATGCTTGACAATTGAATAGCTAATTTAGAAAAAATAATTGCCTGCACTGAAGCTGTTCCTTATTGTTTATTGTATTTTTTTTTACTAAATAAAAGTAAAAACAGCCAACATAAAACAAAGAATTGGGCTCAATATAGCTGATCAGTTAAAGAAATGCCTTGACTGGCCCTTGATGCTGGTTTCTGAGATAGGATCGGGACGTCCCTGAATTTGAACCATCCTAATGTGAACGTACTCTCAGTCTGCTGATCATTCAGCTCCTGTATTCTCCTCTCTGCTTCTCCTCCTGTGTGGAGCTGCAGACGAATATTTATGCTTACTCATCCTGTCTACACTCGCCCGGGAGAGTTAAAAGTCGTGCCCTCCCTCCTGCTTTTGAAGTGGCGGCTGCTTGCTGGGCGATGGATCACACAATACGTGACCCCGGCGACCTCCTGCTGGAAAGCTGTATGAGAGGGTGAGGACGTTGGACTTTCATCTGGCTGTGGCATCCTGGTGTTTCTCCTCGGCATCAGTGGCTGCTGCATTACAGAGACCACCTGACATTTATTTCACCCTTTTCACTCGGAGTGACTCTGGCTGGGATTCTGTTGAAGGGGCTGAAAGAGGAGACTGAATCTGTCCAGCAGGAGGCTAAGATACCTGATATCAGTGATGCATGAAACCCAGTCAAACAAACAGAAACATGACTATAACATTCATTTTTAATTTGAAATCTGAAAGTGTATCTTTCATATTGCAAGAGCCATGATTTTATGTACAACTGAATAATGGCTTACAGTTTTTGGTTTCTCTAGCTGTAAGACATCTGTCAACATTGGCAAATTTACTCTGCATAGCATATATGCCAAAATATATTTTTATCATATTAAATTGATGTAGAAAAAGTTTTGTAATGCTTAGCACAGATCTTGTTTAGTACAGCAGACTTTATTATATGCCCTATAATATATTCTGGGTGTTAAATGTTTAGAAAATAATCCAATCACAGTGACATGATTTGTCAGGAGAAATTGAGATCTTTTCCTCAAATCGCCCAGCCTTAGATGAACTACTAATATCCAAAATGTGCAGATGTTCTCTGTAATGTCGCAGGACAGGTGATGGAAGGACAGAGGAGGAAGTGGTTGCACTGTAGGTGTATGTGTGTCGGCACAGTCAGGCAGCACAACTGCAGCATGTCAGTAAGCTACTGAGAAACACAACCCGACTCACTCCAGTATGGATACACTGAGACTGGGACAATCCTCTCTCCAGATCTGTTCTGGCAGTGTTCTCCTTGTGTTGAGCCTTTCTCTCTTTCTCTCTCATCCCCACAAAAAGAGAAAGATTATGCAAATGTGGAGTAAATAAGGTTTGTGTCTCCAGCGTCGGCTGAGCGAACAGAGAGGACAGTTTGTGGTTTTGACACACAGTGGCTGTTTGTCAGAGAGGCAGAGAAAACAACCCGCGAGGCGGCGTCTCATCACGGCTGTCACTCTTTGTCTGACATGTTTGTTTTCCCCTCCGCCTCACCCCGTCCTTATTGGCTGAGGTTTGGCACAATGGATTAATTCACATCATCTTCTGCTGTCTCACTTGATTTCTGACACTGAGGCATTGTAAAACAAAACATGGCAGCTTACACCGATACAGGACATCATCTTTCACTCACTCTAGTTTTTCAGATCAGTTACTAAATAAATCATTTGTGATATTATGAGTAAGGTTTGGGCGTTGACTGTATAATTAAAAATGCACATGGTCCCTGTGATGTCACACATTCATGTAGAGCCAATGTGGAGCTCAGAGTGTGGCCCAGCAATAGGTCCGTTTTTGCCTCATTAATTGCGAAACGTCGGTGATATTTATCGATTACCTACATAAATCTGTTGCAGCTGTTGGGTCTGACATGTTTGTGTGTTGTCATAGCAACTTATGCCACGAGTCTTCGTTGTTTGTTGTTTCTGACATAAAAGTCAATAATCCACATCATCATGAGAAATTGGGATGCAGAAATGATTCTCACCACTAATCATGAATCATATCACTGTCGCAATATCAATGTCGTGCAGCCCTAGTGGAGTTGTACACTATTCTGAATTTATCAAGAGAGACATTATAGAGCAATTCTACCACTCCTCAGTGAGTTTCCCCCAACCTTTGTCATCTGTGGTGTTTCTGGCTGTTGCCATCTCACTCGGGCCTCAGTCCTGTACTGAAAACAACCGCCTGTGACAGCACCTTATATATACTGTCAATGTACAGCACCCACCTGTCACTCAAAGCAGCCATGCCCTTCATTCTTCCGAACTTTAACCTTAATGTAATTTAAATGGGTGAGTTATATAAAAATTCACCCACAGTACGTCATGAATGGGGAATTAAGCTATAGAGACCAAAACTCTTTTGTACCAGGATGTGAACATGTTTATTTCTGCTGTACCATTGTGCATGGTAATAATGGGCCTTATGGAGACTTAGCCAGCCTAAAGTGACTGTTTGAGGAGCTGCTACTTTTGTGTTGGCTTAATTTGCCAGGCACAGAGGTTGCCGCTTGGCGTAGTGTCAAAATGTTACCATAGGCCACTCACCCTAAGTTCTCAGGTTGGCTTGATTTGCTTCGACTGCAAGAACCAGACCTTTATTTGAAACACGTCGCACTGTTTTCAATATATTTCATCATGTATTGGTAAGAAGCCTTTTAAATTCTCTCAATTAGAGAATGCTGACACACAACTTAAGTTAGGTATGTTAAGTTCAGCAATAGTTGAGAGCGTATTAGTGTTACAAAGACAAAATGGAGAATATGACATGACTCTGTTGTACTGATTGAATCAGTGCTCTAGAAATGTACATTATTCTAAATTCATCAGGCGAGACATTATAGAGCAGGTAATTCCACCACTTCAATGAATTTTACCCAACCTTTGTAAAAGACTCCTGTATTTGAATACTATCTTTAATTAGAATTTTACTGAATGTATTCAGGTTGAGTTTGAGAGTAAATTATGATGCGAATTAACATTCTCGACGTGTGCCACCCTTTCTTTACTTTTACCGTAATGGGCTGTCATTCTAATGTCTCTAATCCCAATACTTTCTTGATATCTTGCATTGCTGTAAGAAATGTCTTTCTACACAAAAACACTACAGTTAAATGATATTATTAAGTTGTCATCTTCTCTGTTACTGTAATTACAGACCTGCT